TCAGCCTCCCCAGCACTGGGATTTCAGGTGTACACTACTAGCCCCTGTCTCAGTGCACCTGGAAAGCGGGGCTGGGGTCAGTGTGTCATGTGCCTGGGATGGAACCCCAGTCCCTGCACTTGCCTAAGCAGGCACTTAGTCCACTGAGCTATCTCACCAGTTTGCCTTTGTGGTTTTTTGAGACAGGGTCTGGCAGTGTAGCTCAGGTTGATCGAACTCACTGTGTAGCCCAGGCTGGCCTTGAGTGTGCAGTGATTGTCCTGCCTCAGCCTCTCAAGTACTGGACAGGTGTGTGCCACCAGCATGAACCTTTGGGTGTAAACCGAATTCAAACCACAGCAGCTGCGTTTCGTGCTCTGTCCTGTGTTAGTTATTGTTTAGAGCATGGTCTCAACTGTCTAAGACCTTACCCTAAGGAGTGTGCAGGAGCACAGAATCTGCAGGGAGTTGCAGACCATTCTTCAGAACCATTCTTTGAATAGGTTTTTTTTTTTTTGTATTTTTAGGGTAGGTCTACAGGGTGTTCAGGGTCTCACTACTAGATCCGACTCGTAGTGATTCCCCTGTTTACAGTCTTCCAAAAGCTGGGATTACAGGCATGCGACTACACCCAGTCTCAGGCCTCTGCCCCCCCCCCCCCCCCTCTCCTAACCCCCCTTCTTATATCCCCCCCCCCCCCCCCAGCGGGGCTCACGTGGCAGGCCAGGCGATTGAACCTCAGCCCCTGCACCTGCTTGCAGCCGCTTTAATCTCCTGAGCTATTTGGCTGGCCCTGAATAGTTTTTTGTTGTTGCTTTTTGTCTTTTGAGGTGGTGTCTTCTTGTGTTACCAATGCTGGCTATTAACTTTTGGACTCTACTGATCATTTTGCCTTGGCCTTCCAAGAAGATGGTCCACTGATAAGCATACTGCGCACCAGGCTCCATACTGCGCACCAGACTCCATACTGTGCACCAGGCTCCATTATTTGCTTTTATATTTTCGGCACTGTTAAGATGAAATAATCTTGAGTGTAGCTCTGGGTTTCTAATCAACTTCAATGGGCAGGGTTTAGAATTCAGTATATAGATTTGGGGGATCACTCTATAGGTGGTGGCAATTAGCAGTTGAGATAGTAAGCGCTTTTTTGTATTATAGTTGCTGGTTAAGCTGAGAAGAGGTATGTGCTTCGTGTAGAGTCCTATTAATCACTTGGATGTGCAGTTATTTTATTTTTTGTAGTTAAGAGATTATTTTAATAATAGCTGGTAGAGAAATGCATTATATTGAAAGTTCCTTGAATAATGAAATGACATCTGTATTCCTGTCTCACAGATATTGAAGCACAGATTCGCGAGATTCAAGGCAAGAAGGCAGCTCTTGATGAAGCGCAAGGAGTGGGCCTTGATTCTACAGGTTACTATGACCAGGAGATTTATGGTGGAAGTGACAGCAGATTTGCTGGCTACGTAACATCGATTGCCGCCACTGAACTTGAAGATGTAAGTTACAGATTGTGCGAGAGGCAAGCTAGCTCTGCTCTGCTCTGCTCAGCTCTTCTCTGCTCTTTTTTTAAAAATTTATTGAGAAACATAGCAGTGAGGCAGTTTCAAAACTGATTAGTAGGACAGTTTCAATAATTAATACGTTGCGGGGCCGGGGAGATGGCTCAGTGGAATAAGCGCTTCCTTGGCAAGCACAAGGGTCTGAGTTGAATCCCCGGTTCCGCCAAAAATAAAAAAATAAAAAAAAAACAAAAATAATTAATACATTGCATATTGTTGTCTTCTTAGTGGTTATTCACAGTACAAGATGCAGACATGATATCCTGTCCACAAACACTATTAGAACAAATCTTTCTTTTTTTTTGAATTGTTTCTATTCATTGAATTAAGAGAAAGTAGCTGTATATCTATCCTATAAAAAAACAGGGAACACTTCACGAATTTGCTTGTCATCTTTGTATAATCTCTTCTGTATTGTTCCAATTTTAGTATATGTGCTGCCGAAGTGAGCACTGCTCTTTTAAATTTTTTTTTTTTTTAAATCCTTTATTTATTTATTTGGTACAAGGTCTCACTATGCAGCCCAGACTGTCTCAGGATCCCCAGTGCAGGGACTACAGGGTTCCAGCGCTGGCATGGCATGCGGTACTGGGGGTTGAACCCGGTCCTTGTGCTTGCCAGGCAGGCACTTAGATCCCCCGAGCTATTTCCCCAGCCCCTTCTTTTTTCTTTTGAAAGGGATGAAATAGGAATTTTCTGATTCCCTTTCTTTTGTGACAAGGTCTTGCTGTGTGGTTTAGGCTGCCTTGAACTCAGGCTGGTCTTGAACTTAGGAGTTGATCCAAGTGCTGGGACTCTTCCCCATTCCTGTTTTTTTTTTTTTTTTTTTGTAGTCCATGCTGTTCTCAAACTCACAATGATCCTCCTGAGTGCTGGGATTACATGTGTGCGCCACCATGACTGGCTTGCCCGTCTTTTTGATTTACTTGTTTTTTAATGTAAGATCAGGGTCTGGCTGTTTTGCCCAGGCTGCCCTCAAATTTGAGATCTTTCTGGTGCAGTCTTCTGAGTAGCTAAGACTATGCACATGCCATCATGCTCAGCTACTGGGAATTGTACTTGATACTGTTTATTTGCTCTTTTTTTTGAGGGGGAGGTGGATACAGAGTCTTGCTATGTAGTTTAGACTCCCCAGCGCTGGAATTACAAGCGTGCGCCTGGGGTTCTGGGGCCAGAATGGCTTGTGGTACCAGGCATCGAACCAGGGTCCTTGTACTTGTTAGGGAGCTGCTTGGACTGCCAAGTTATCTTCCCAGCCCAGGTTTTCTCTCTCTCTCTCTTTTTTTTTTTTTTAAATCTCATTATTTATTTGGTACAGAGTCTCACTGCACAGTTCGGACTTGTAGTGATCCTCTTATCTCTGCCTCCCCAGTACTGGGATATCAGGCTTGCGCCACCACTCCAGGTGTCAGGGTTGGCACGGCACACCTGGTTCTGGGGCCGGCATGGCATGAGGCACTGGGATCCTAACCCAGGTCTTTGTGCTTGTCAGGCAGGCACTTAGACCACTGTGATATCTCCCCAACCCCCCCTAGTTTTCTCTTTTTGACACCTTAATATCAATGAAATTTTTCTTGGTATTTCTATTTGTGAGCATTTTGTATGTTTTAATTATCATGGAGGACATTTGCATTTCATATTTAAATGTAATTTCAAAGTTTTATATATTTTATTTATTTTGCAGAACCAGGGATTGAAGTCAGTACCTTGTGCTTGCCAGGCAAGCACTTATTCTACTGAGCTATCTCCCTGGCCCCCTATTTCATGTTTTATCTGAGTGTCTCAAACATCAAATTTGATGAAATTTTTAAAAATTGTTTCAGTGATTCAATAACATTTTATATAATCATGCTGGTGGTTTTTATGAAATTCAAATCGTTTTATCTCACAGTTTGGCACTTTCCCATGAGAAGACTCGAGAAGTCTCAAAGGTGAATTTCTAGAAGCCAACCAGGGGGGCTGGTGAGATGGCTCAGTGGTCTAAAGCACCTACTTAGAACAAGCTTCGCAAAAAAGGACAGGGACCGCGGTTCAATCCCCCAGCACCACATGCCAGCCAGCCCCGCCCCCTGGTGGACTGAGCTGGCCACACACACACACCACACACATAAATTTAAAAAAAAAAAAAAAAAAAAAAGCCAACCAGGACCAGCTCCTAGAGTCCAGCCCTCCTGGGAGGAATTGGTGGGGGTGGGGTGGTTATGTGTTCCTGAATACGAGAGATGTGTGGGCTTCAAGAGAAGCCCTAGTACATGACATTGTTCTTTTTAAACAGCAGATAGATTTGTGATTACTCTGGTTAAATAGTGTTTAAAAATATGTGTGCCAACACAAGCAAAAGGATGAGTTCTTGGGTGCTGGTAGCTGCCACATTGTAGCAGGGACCTTGCTGAGTGTGCGCTGACTTCTCTGGCTGGGCTTCCCTGCAGGATGATGATGACTACTCGTCGTCGACAAGCTTGCTTGGGCAGAAGAAGCCGGGCTACCATGCGCCCGTGGCGTTGCTCAATGACATCCCCCAGTCCACGGAGCAGGTACTCTTCCTCCTCCTAAACCGTAGTGTAGCTGACTGTCCACAGGTGTCTGTTCTCCTGTGGAAGTCCATAAATTTTAGAAACCAGTTTCTCAGATGCTTTGAGAAGAGTTGATTTGGGAGAATTAGAAATAATTTATTTTGTAAATGTAGTCATTCTGTGTGGCAGTGTGGATGTCCATGTGTCTCATTTTCTCATGCCTGGTGCTTTCCTGTTAAAATCCATCCAGGAGACAAATGTGCATGTTTGGCTAAGTGGTAGGCTCACATTGACTTGTGTTTTCAGTGGTCTGGTTGTGGTTAAGGTGTTCTGCTTGGTTAAAAACCTGTGCACTAAAGGAGCTGTGCCCACTTGCAGTATGACCCGTTTGCTGAACACCGGCCTCCGAAGATCGCAGACCGCGAAGATGAGTACAAAAAACACAGGCGGACCATGATCATTTCCCCAGAGCGTCTTGATCCTTTTGCAGATGGTAATTCTTTCCAGCTTTTCCATACATGTTCAGAATTTATTTGTATTAAGTTGTCTTTAGCCCTTTGATTTTTTTTGGCATGCTTATGGATTTGCTTTTCTTTTTAAAGTCCCCCTTATTAGAGATTTGTATAGATTTGGTTGAAGTCACAGATGCCATATTCTTCATCTTTATAATGCAAGTTTTCTTTCCAGGTAGAAGGACAAGAAACTAATGAGCCAATGCCATAGAAACGCAAAGGGTTAAAGGTTTTTCTTTTACTTTTGTTTTGGGTACTCTTTCTATATGTTGAACAAATAATGCTTTTCTGCTCAAAATACTTTCAAATTATTGAAAGTTTTCGTTCCGAACTCTAGAGTTTTAGGACTATTGTTTTGGAGAAACTATTTCTCACACTAGAGCTCTCCCCATATTGTTCTAAACATAGCTTAGTAAATGCACCTCAGTTAAAAGTGTGTATCCAAAGACTTTACTGTTCTAATAGTTGGAGTCTGTTTTGCTAATTGTAGTGTGCGAGTCAGCACCAGGGGCATAGTGAGGCTGATGGAAGCTTCCTCAGGTGAGTGAGCTTCACAGTCAGAATGAGGTGCCTGTTCCTCAGGGCTAGATTCTGCTGCAGGTTTATGAGTTAGACTTTCAGCCTGCATGAATTAGTAGGGATATTTTTTTTTTTACGTGCATAATTGTAATTGATTTAAACATGTATGTCAGAATTCACAGGCCCATACTAACTGTCCTTAATTTCTTTCCTACAGCAGTACTGCTATATGCCAGTCCTGTCTGCATTCTTAAGGGTGCAGCTCAACACATCCTCTCTAGATTATGGTGAAAAAGTATCCCAAAGGAAGTCTTAGATGAGCTAGTGTCAGAAAGAATGACACTGCCAATTGGGCATGGTCTTCAGCATAGGAAATGTCTTAGAATTTTATAGTGTGTTTTTTTTTTTTCCTGAGTTATGATGCTATACTACTGGTATAGCTGATTATCACATTCTAAGGCATAATGTGCCTCTTTGAATCTTGTTATATATTCTTTGGGCTTCTTTAAGATATTCTGAAGTTTGTAGTGCAAATACTAAAACTTTAACCAAGAGACTAACACATCTCTTTGTACACCACTTTTCTTCTGTTTGCAACTTAATAATGTAGAAGTAATATATTTAAGTTATATGTTTCCATATATAATTTGTACTTTCTAAGAAATAAAAAAATATGATTCTGGGTCAGTAAATCTTTAAAAAGCATGAAGCCCTTTTTTTAGTAATGTGACATCAGAGTGCGATTATAGGTATGTTTTTTAAAATGAGCTTTTCTAAAGTACAACTGTTTTAGAACACTGAAGAACTTACCTAGTCATAGTTATTTGTAGTCAGGATTTTAACAGCTTGCAACAGGTAATGTTTTGCATATATCTTTCCAAAGTGTTACTAATGGTAAAGAGATAATTTTCTAGGCTTCTATTCTGCTGCTTGAAGTCAGAACTGCTGATGGAGACAAAGGCACGAAAGTGTACGTATTCCGGATTAGCAACCCAGGACCCATCACTTCTGAAGACTCTAAGCTGTGCTGTCATTTTGTTTTTATATGCATTAAAGTATTTGTTTTAAACTGCTGTAGATATGTTTGTGTTCAAACAGGTTAAATTGATCAGCAAACTCAATAAAAAGTAAGATGTATAATTATTAAAGTTTTCCATCAAAAATTAATTAAATGATTATCGAATAACATAACATTAGAGCAGGGCAGAGAAGTCAGTTGAACCTAATTTCCCTTTATTTATTGTATTCTTGTCCTGTTGCTGTTCTTTTCTGCAGGAGGGAAGACCCCTGACCCTAAGATGAATGCTCGGACTTACATGGATGTAATGCGAGAACAGCACTTGACTAAGGAGGAGGTGTGTGAACCTACTCTTCTTGTGATTGTGAGAGAATGTGCATTAGGGGGAAGTTGAGAGTTTTATGAAGTTTTTTTCTTTTTGCCGTTGTTGTACAAGTAATATTTTCATAGTATTAAGTCAAGGAAGAACCTTTTCTCTGAATTTTGTCTCCTCTCAAATGAAACTTCCTATTTCTAAGTCGTTTTGTAGCCTAGGGTTCTTTGGCCCCTGTGCATGTGTCTGTCTTACAGTGGGTGAGTCTCTGAGAAGCTTGATGGTGTGCCCCCAAAGCCTCCGTCTTCCCAGAGCCACACCATGTGTCAGGGAAGAGTTATGCTGCTGGCCTTTAAAATATCTTGTGTGGGATCCACTTTGAATGTGGATAGAAATTTTTGGCCTGCAGAGATTATTCCTTTTTTAAAAAAATGTGTGCATGAAATTGGAAATACAGGAAAGAGTGAAATTAAGATGTGGGACTACCAGTAACGTGGAGTAGAATAAGGTGTTAAGAAGAAACAACGGCGTTAATGATAAAAAAAAAACATTGGAAGCATTTTTTCCCCCAGTGTTGGGGTTGAACACAGACCCTCATGCACACTAGGCAAGCTTTGTACCCCCTCCCCTCCCTTGAAAGTATTTTGTAAGTTTATTTTTCACTATCATGAGTTCTCTGTTTTTAATTTTACAGTGTTTTTTGTTATTCTAGTTTACTAGCACCTGTGGGTAGGATACCTGATGTTCACATGCCGGGGGCAGTGTGTGTGTGTGTGTGTAGTGGTGCATAACACACCTTAATTCCTTTTATCATCCATTTTCTTTCTTCCCAAGTCTCATGGTTCCCTGTCTCTTTGAGAGCTATGTCTCTACTTCCTGTAAACTGTCTTGTATTTTGCTTTTTTTCTTACCCTAGGCTTCTCATATAAAACAATGTGATATTTAAGCTTATGGAAAGCATTTTAAAGGTAACTGTCCTCTGCTTTTTCAAATGTTTTTCAGAGAGAAATTAGGCAGCAGCTAGCAGAGAAAGCTAAAGCTGGAGAACTGAAAGTTGTCAATGGAGCAGCAGCGTCCCAGCCTCCCTCAAAGCGAAAGCGGCGCTGGGATCAGACTGCTGATCAGACTCCTGGTGCCACTCCCAAAAAGCTGTCCAGTTGGGATCAGGCAGAGGTGATTGCTTTTGATCACTATTGAAATGTCTTTATTTCTACTACTGAAGTATCTTTCTCTATGATTGTGTTTATTGCTGTGCTTGGGTGGCTTAAATGGCAGAACTATTATTTTCTTTTTCTTTTTTGTTTTTGGTACAGGGTCTCACTGCACAGCTTAGAGACTCATAGTGATTCTCCTATTTTCAGCCTCCCTAGTGCTGTGATTATAGGCGTGTGCCACCATGCCCAGACTCGGTTGCCAGCACAGTATACGGTGCCAGGAATCGATCCCCGATCCCTGTGCTTGCCTAAGCAGGTGCTTAGGCAGAACTGTATTTTCTCGAAGTCATGGAGGCTCCAAGCCTAAGGTCTGCGTGCCTCAGGGTTGACATCTGGTTGCATGGTCTCTGGTTGTGTCACTGTGTCTCCCAGTATCTTTCATTGCTATTTATTTTGTCTCTTGTGAGGACACTGATGATACTGAAATAGGCTCCACCTATGGGAGCACATTTTGCCCTCCCTGTCCCGCTCAAGCCCAGTCTCCAAGTGCATTCGCATGCCAGGGTTAGAACTCAGCTGCAGGCTGCAGTTGTTTAGCCTGGACCATGGCGCATTATAAACGCATGCTTGCCGCCTTGTGGGGCTTAGCCTTCCTCTGTTCTTGTGCTCCCCTCCCCCTCCTTCATGGAAGCTGTTTGTTGTCTTTAGGAAAAAATAAAAATAAAAAACACTGGTGACCAGAAACATCCCTTGGTGCTTGTGTCTTCAGCACCTACCCGTTCTGTGTCTACACCAGGAACTCCTCAGAGCATGCCGCCTGTCTGCTGTCCGCTTATCTAGTCCTAGCTTTCCCTTTGCGGTGTCTCAGGTTCCTGGATCTTTGCATTGCTTTTTCCAGAAGTTGGCCTCTCATCAGCCCTCCTGTTGTTCAGTGCCTGACTGTTCTGGATACCTTGCCTTGCTCAGCCTCTGGGGCTGTCTTTTCCCCTCCTTCCTGACTGCTGTTCCTTACTCTTGTTGGGTCCTCCTCTATTGCAGTACCAAGCTTTGGGGTGCTCTAGTGCTCAATCCTTGGAGTTCTTGTCCCTGTGCCCGCCCTCCCTAAGCCCTCTGTCTCTGTAACCACTGAGTAAGCCAACTCCTACCTTGTGAAATCTGCCTCCTACTTATCTCCTCAGACTTGTGTGTTTGTCAGACCTGACACATTTACTTGGATGTTTAATAAGCATTTTGAAGCCAATTGTTTGTAGAACAAAGTAAAATGACCAGTTCTCTGTCCTTATCCCTCCCCCAACTCCTCTGATTGGTTGTTGGTCTTCTCAGCTTACAACCATCATCCTGTCCTGCTCTCTCACCCCATTCTCCCTGCCAGCACAGGTCTCTGGTGTCAGTGGGGAGTAGAATCAGGGTCTTTGTTTCATCTGTTTCTACCACCCCAATCTAAACAAGTCATTATTATTAGTGCTAATGTGGGTTTATTTACCTGTGACAAAAGATTTGTCAGACCGTGGCAGTTTCCTGCTCACAGGAGTGGGCTATGTTAACTCTAATATACCCGTGGCCTACATTTCACGTCGAGATCCTGACAGCTCCCCATTTGATCCATGTGAGAACTTGTTGCTGAGTGTAGTGAATTACTAACTTCATTAACTTCAGTTCTGTGACTGACATCCAGTGTTGTTTTAAAAGCTGATGTGAGCTTGCTCTGCTGGTAACTATTTTTTTTTTTAAATTTTTTATTTTATTTATGTGTGTGTGTGCGTGGCCAGCTCAGTCCACCAGGTGGTGGGGCTGGCTGGAATGTGGTGCTGGGGGATTGAACCGTGGTCCCTGTGCTTTTTTGCTAAGCTTGTTCTAAGTAGGTGCCTCAGACCACTGAGCCATCTCACCAGCCCCTCTGCTGGTAACTTTTAATTGTACTCTTTTTTTTTTTTTTTTTGGTACTGGGAGTTGAACTAGGGACCTTGAGCTTACCAGGCAGATGCTGTGCTGCTGAGCTATTATAATCCCTGGTCCAAACTGTTTTTTTTTTTTTTTTTTTTCTGCAAAGCTTTATTCTGGAGGGGCTCAGTCCTTCTTGGCAGCTGCCTTCCTCATGGTGGCCAGCACATTGCTCAGCTCCTCATGCTTTCTCTTGGTGCGAATGTGCATCCCCTCCCTTTTCTTGATGAACTTGAGGGCGCGCTTGTCCTTGGAGACCTTGAGCAGCTTCATGGTGCGCCACTCGTAGGGAGTGAAGCTGCACACCTCCCAGATCATGTCCCGCACAAACTTGGTGTGTTTGGTGAGGCTGTGCCTCCGTTTACTCACATTCTTAAGTCACCTTGTGGCCCTTATTGAGGCCCACGGCCATGGGATAGTGGAGGGCCATGGCTGCTGTTCTTTGGTGGTTGCTGTGGCGGAAGCCCAAACTATATTCTTAGGATAACAGCGTGTAGTAGTTTATTAAGCTGGACATAGTGGCACATGACTATTGCCCCAAGCAGTGCTTGGGAAGCTGAGGCATGAAGATGGCTAGCCTCAGCTACATAGTAAGACCCTGTTTCAAAACACAAAACCAAACAATGGAAAAGACTATGTCTCTCCTGTTAGAGCTGCAGACACTCACACCATATTTCTTGCATTCTGCCCATTTATCACATGGTACCCTGATTGGGTACCCTGATTGTGGCTGTGGGGAACCCAATAAAATAGGAAGGATTTAGTCCCAACTCTCCTATAATCCAGTAGGCGAGGCAAGTGCCCAAATTGAACAGTTTATGTTCTTACCTAATCCTTCATTTCTAAACTTTGAGTAGTACAGTTTTCTTATTAAAGGAAAAAATCTGAGTATTGATTTCTTTTATGGTATGATTTTTTTATGGTATTATGCAAATTTGCAAACTGATAGCTAGATGGAGCTCTTAGATCAATAGTGATGGAGAACCTTTTAGAGCTTTCAGTGGTGACAAACAGCAGGCTGTAGCATGTGTGCCATTGGTTTGCCACCACTGATCTATACGAACATTCAACTTTAATGTAGTAAATCTTGTTTACTGCTTAAGGGATAGTGTCTAATTCTAAGGTTTGATTTGCTTATGTTAAATCATCTGGTTTAAAGTGATACTCTGCACTGTGCAGTTTCTTTTGGTGTCAGGCATGAGCACCCCTCCTCAGTCACCTGGTCTTGGCTCACAGTACTGTGCACTTTGCGTGTGGTTTATGCCCACTGCTAAGCTTCTTCCAGTTTTCCCAGTACCACTTGGGTCAGCATCACTTAGTACAGACATGATCAGAAGCACAAACTCCTCTCCAGGCTTGAGATCAGGTGGTAGGAGGCAGTCGAAAGGTAACCAGGTAGACAGTCTAAAACATACTTAGTATTTGAATACATGTAGTTGGACAAAATATAAAAACAGTGTTTCTTAGAATGTGTGGACTCCTTTTTCCTTAAATGATGTATGTCTTAGAGCCTCAGTGCTGCTGTAATTGGATCTGGACATCTTGCATTGCAGGTCCAGATAGAGAAACCTTAGTGATTTTTTTCCCTTCTCTATGGCATGTCCAAGGTTCATACCCAGTTTTTTCTTTTTAATCTAGTACTTTTTCCACTTACGTGTTTGAACTTTTTTCTTTGTTGTTGGTCATAAACATATTTGCCATAATTGTATAGAGACTAAAACTAAAACATTTGTTTAAAGTTGTTCAACAGAAATTTGGTAGTTATGTCTCTATGGTTTTTTTTTTTTTTTTTATTTTTTTTTTTTTTTTTTTTTAACATTTATTTAGTGTGTGTGTGTGGCCAGCTCAGCCCACCAGGGGGCGCGGCTGGCTGGCATGTGGTGCTGGGGGATCGAACCGCGGTCCCTGGGCTTTTCCAAGCTTGTTCCAAATAGGTGCTTTAGACCACTGAGCCATCTCTCCAGCCCTGTCTCTATGGTTGTGTAGGTGTATGAAATAATTTTGTTTGTTCTGTTCAGACCCCTGGCCATACCCCTTCTTTAAGATGGGATGAGACACCAGGTCGTGCAAAAGGAAGTGAAACTCCTGGAGCAACCCCTGGCTCAAAAATATGGGATCCCACGCCAAGCCACACACCTGCAGGAGCTGCTACTCCAGGCCGAGGTGACACACCTGGCCATGCAACCCCGGGCCATGGAGGCGCAACTTCCAGTGCTCGTAAAAACAGATGGGACGAGACCCCGAAAACCGAGAGAGGTATGCTGGGGGTCAGGGTGTGCATGTGATGGAGATGGATGTGTCAGACAGGTACATAGCCAGCTTTGGGAGACTGCTGAGCAGACTGTAGGCCTCATTCTTTCCCTTTTTTTTCCTGGTACCGGGAATTGAACTCAGGGATTTCCATTTGCCAGGCAAGTGCTGTACTGCTAAGCTACATCCCCAGCCCTTTTTGCTCTTCTTAAAGCGATTTGGTCTTTTTTTTTTTTTATGGAGATGGGGTCTTGCTTATGTATTATATAGTCCAGGCTGGCCTTGAAGGTGCTTATGTAGCCCAGGCTGGCCTTGAATTCATAGTGATCCATCTGCCTCAGCCTCCCAAATGCTGATGTTACAGGGGTGCGCCACCACACCCTGAATGATGAGGTTTAAGGCTTGCTTTATTTATTTCCTTTTTTATGGTGACTCAAACTCACAGCCTGGTGCTTGCCAGGCAGGTGCTGTGTCACTGAGGTATGTCCCCAGCCCATAACGTTTATTTTATAAAGACTTTCAGAAGGATTGTTTGTAGATGTGTTGCGTCCCTGTCACTAGTATTTCTCCGACTTTTTTTATTGTCCCAGTGAAATTCCTTATCCATCCTGTGGCCTCTTGTCTCCTCCTTCCATCTGATAACATTTTGGCAAATGCTCGTCTTTTGTGTAGATGACTGTAAGCTTTGTTTCACAAACTGTTCATAAGGATAGCTGTGGCAAATTAGAAGGAATCGTAAGATGCACTGTTTCAGTTTTGCAAAGTCATTAATAGTGTGAGAAACACCCAGTACTGGATGATGGACAGTGTAGGATTGTCTGTGTAGTTTTTTTCCTATCTGCATGCAGAAGCACAGAATGAGACTTGTGACACAGAGCGGCTCTCTGCGTAGTGATGTCATGAGTGATAAAAAATGACTTTTGTTAATGACGCCTTTTGTAATCAGTAGGAAAGCAACACCAAAAATAGTACAAATGGGAACATTAAAATTTTAAATGTGTCTATTTTAAGAATACTCTGCTCCTGAATATGTGAGTGATACTCATTAGAATAAGTGGTGATGTTTTGACAGTGGTTAACATTATGGCCTTTCTGGGCCTTTCTCTTTGAAGATACTCCTGGTCATGGAAGTGGATGGGCCGAGACTCCTCGAACAGATCGAGGTGGAGATTCAATTGGTGAAACACCGACTCCTGGAGCCAGTAAAAGAAAGTCCCGCTGGGATGAGACGCCAGCCAGTCAGATGGGTGGAAGCACTCCTGTTCTGACCCCTGGGAAGACACCAATTGGCACACCAGCCATGAACATGGCCACCCCAACACCAGGTAGGAACTTTGAGTGCAAGTAATCATGTTCCCTCTTCAGGTTATTTTGATTTGTGTGTGTGTTTGCTTCTGTATGCCATTAATGACAACGTTTAGCAAGAATAAGTGAATATAGAATTAATCTTGGTTTGAATTTGTAAAATGAAAGTGGTTAATTATTAGTGTTGATCTTGTTTTCTGTTTCTGTACCTTATACTGTAGATTGTTACAGAAGTTTGTTTTCTTGATAGGTCACATAATGAGTATGACTCCTGAGCAGCTCCAGGCTTGGAGGTGGGAGAGAGAAATTGATGAGCGAAACCGCCCACTCTCTGATGAAGAATTGGATGCCATGTTCCCAGAAGGATACAAGGTAGTTGGAGTGGATTTCAGTGTGACACTAACGATAGGAATTTTCAGTTGTGTTGAAAAAGTTGGGGTACAAGTTTGCATTGGCCTTAACGAAAGTTTACTAATGCCTTGCCATACATTTAGCTATTTCTGAGTGTATTTTAGCTATTCCAGAAGATAATAGAGATGAAAAGAAATGAGTAGTTTGATGGATTTATTTTTTCAAAGTGAAAAAATAGATTTCCAGGGGTGTGGGCTACCCTTTGGAGCCCCCACATTAGCAGTGTAGAATAGCTTGCTTGGTTTACCAGGGCTTTACATACACATGCTAGGCAAGAGCGAGTGAATCACATCTCAGCCCAGAAGGTGCTTTTGAATTGTAATTTTCTTGGTAGCTTGCGCTCTGGAGATACTTGCTGATTTAAAGTCATTCTAGTTATGTAGACAGTAGTGTAACCAAATCCAGACTGTCGTCTGATGGTCTTTTCAGTGATGGTTACTTTTTCATAGTTTGCAGTATGTGCCTGTTCCTTCTTCCAGTAGGTGTGTATAAATGTTTGTCTCAGGTGTTACTATCTATTTTAAAACTTTTAAACATCACAGTGTTGTGAAGATAGACGGCCTAAGGTCTAATAGTATCTTCTTCAGTTGTTGTCACTGATTTCCTTAGTATCAGAGGAAAGAGGAATTATCTTTTATGAATCTTACTGATGGATGAGTACAATCCTTTTTTTTTTTTTTTTTAAACATTTATTTATTGGGGCTGGAGAGATGGCTCAGTGGTCTAAGGCACCTACTTGGAACAAGCTTGGCAAAGCATCAGGGACCGCGGTTCAATCCCCCAGCACCACATGCCAGCCAGCCCCGCCCCCTGGTGGGCTGAGCTGGCCACACACACATCTCTCTCTCTCTCTCTCTCTCTCTCTCTCTCTCTCTCTCTCTCTCTCTCTCTCTCAAATAAATAAAAAAAAAAAAAAAAAAAAAAAAATAAAAAAAAAAAAACATTTATTTATTGTGTGTGTGTGGCCAGCTCAGCCCACCAGGGGGCGGGGCTGGCTGGCATGTGGTGCTGGGGGATCGAACTGCGGTCCCTGTGCTTTGCCAAGCTTGTTCCAAGTAGGTGCTTTAGACCACTGAGCCATCTCGCCAGCCCCCAATCCTTTTTTTAAAATCAGATTTTATTGGTACATTTTAGATGCACATAATATGCATAATGCTCACATTCATCATAGAGAATTTGTACCTGTACATGATATAACTTGATTCTTTTTATTTTCCTATTTCCTACCCTGCCTTCAACCCCTCCTCTTCTCTATTTATAAAAGCTTTGTTTCCATTATTTTTCTTACTTTTCCCTTTCCTTCTTATTCCACTGCCCATATGAACATTTCCTTCGTATTTTACAGTACCGATTAAACATCTTGGATCTTATTTACACTGCCACTTTGTCACACCAGAGAAACTGTAGTATTTATGCGCATGTCTCATTTAGAGTATGGTCTCAAGGTGCATCCATTTGGAGTGTCTCAAGCTTATTCTTTATGGCACCGTATGAAGAGTACAATCATTAGAAGTAAATAGTGAGACGTAGTAGACTTACTAGTCCTTTGTGTGGGGTGATACTGCCATGTAATTGATACTGACTTCATCAGCCTCTCAGAGAATAGAGACACTTATTCAGTGATCTCTGCTTAAGCATGTGAACCAGCAGTGCAAAGAAAGGATAATGTAGCACAAAAAAACATAGGTGCGTATTTAATAGCGTATATAGTTGATACTTTTAGACAGGCTAGTTCAGGCATTTTGGAGAAGACCTGTCTAGGTTTGTTACCTGCTCAAGAAGTTGTGATTTTTAAAAAAGCCTGAAAATGTCTTCTATCAACTTCTGAAAGATTTTTTTTTCACCCACATTTTTGCAAAAATTTCTAGTTTCGCAAAAGTGTTTGATTGGGTGATGTGTGGTTTTCAAGGCTTTGGGAAGTATTTTGGTTTTAGTTGACACGTTTATCTCTTTTAGACTTTCAGAGTTACATATAAATTTGTTTTTATAGTGCAGTGGCTCATGTGTTTCACATTATACTAAATATATGTAACTTTTGCAAGTTGTTTGTACCTTGTGAGATTATTTCTGTTTATATGGATACCTGTACGTTTTATTTTCTCTAATCTGTTTTGGAAGTTACTGGTTTAGATTGTATGATTTTCAAATTTTAATTTATTATGTTGACTTTCCAACATTTTTGTACAGCTTGTTTGAAAGTGATTGCAATTTCATAAGCCTGCCCCAGGTCTTTCCTTATATCCCCATACTCCTGATACACTTACTTAAGTTTTATTTATTTTTTGCGGGACTGTGGATTGAACTCAGGACCCTGTGCTTGCCAGGCAAGCCTTATTCTACTGAGCTAGCTCCCCAGCTCCTGAAGCTTTATTTTTTATTCCTTGTTTTTTTTTTGTTTTTTTTTAATTGAAATGGATAGTTTATTCAGCAACATGAAAACTATGGGAGATCCTACCAACAGCAATAAAAGCATGCCCAAAGGGATCAAGAATAGATTAGAACCTGGGTGTGGTGATGCACACCTATAATCCCAGCACTCAGGAGGCCGAGTTCAAGGCCAGCCTAGGCTACATAAGCAAGTTTAAGGCTAGCCTGTAATACACAGTGAGACCTCTGTAGGGAAAAAAGAAAAAAAGTAAAAGAAGTCATCTTCTGAAGAGCAGAACAGAAATGGGATGGTAACTTGAAAGTGCTATTTTCTAAAACTCGGATTTGTTTAGCGATGGCATAATCTAGTAAAGAGAATATTGCACTTTGGTAAGTGAAAGAGCCTCATCAACATGAGGATCTAAATGAGAATCCTTGGCTCTTTGGGGGCAGAGCCAGAGTGATTCAGGGATGGTATAGGACCTCCAAATAATACAAGGGAAATAAAACGCCCAGCCTGCTTCATGTCCCATAAACATCTGTGTTCTCTAAAACTGAATGAATTGTAGGAACGTTAAAGGTTAAGAGTTGGAAGAAAAGTTGTCTAAGGGAGAAGGGATCCTGAGTGGGTGGCAGAGAACTCTGGTAGATTCAGTACAGCTAGGTTATCATGGCTCTGATTCAACATGCCTGAATCCCAAAACAACAGCTTTTCTTCCCACTGACCACTCGCCCCTTCTTCCCCACGCCAGCCCTGGACACACTTCCTTTTACCTTTCCAACACTCCTCACGTGTCCCTGAACCTGCCCCTCCAGCGCTGCCCTTAGCAAAAGCCCATACAGTCTCAGCCTCGCTGTCTCAGGCTCTCTATTCCTTAAGTTTTAATTAACAGATAAGTATGAATATTTGTCACATACTTTAAATATCTGATTAAAATAGAACAGTGGGGTATGTGGTTTTTCTCCAAGTAGTTAAAACATTTTTTAGCTAACTAAAATGTTTTAAGTGTAAGTACTCTTTATGTTGCCCTTCAATTTATAAAGTCAAGAAAATGCTTATTTGCTGTTCAACTTTGTTAAGGTACTTCCACCGCCAGCTGGGTATGTTCCCATTCGAACTCCAGCCCGGAAGCTGACAGCAACTCCAACACCGTTAGGCGGAATGACTGGTTTCCACATGCAGACAGAAGACAGAACTATGAAAAGTGTTAATGATCAGCCGTCTGGCAATCTTCCATTTTTAAAACCTGATGATATTCAGTACTTTGATAAACTCTTGGTAAGTGATAGTAACAAAAATGAATCACTACGTTTTGTTTGAGAGTTAAAATTGCAACATTTCTACATACCTTTAAATTTTTATTTTTACTATAGGTTGATGTTGATGAATCAACACTTAGTCCAGAAGAGCAAAAAGAGAGAAAAATAATGAAGCTGCTTTTAAAAATTAAAAATGGGACACCTCCAATGAGAAAGGCATGTATCAAACATACATCTTGTTGGTTATATTTTTATGTTTAGAAATCTTAAGTTCTCTTAATCTTTAGCAAGGGCATGGAATCAGGGAAAGGTTGTATGAAGCTTAGTTTTCTGATTCAAAGAATTTTGTGCTACTGAGGAAACAGAAAAAGAAAATTCTGTTTTGGTTTTTTTGCCAACATGTTGGATACTTAAATATGTGAGGAAGTGTGTTAGCACTGCATGTGTCATAAAACGGGGCGGTCCTGGAGGGGGCACTATGAGCGTGTCAAATATACCCTGTGCTCCCTGGTTCTCAGTTGCCCTTTTGTCCCGTAGCTCAGACTCTGGAGTTCTCATGCTGCTCTGTAAATGTCTGCCAAAGTATACACTGAAAGAGGAAGTTACTGACAGTCTTCTGGAGTAACTTGCTCTTTCACTCATTCTTGATTCCAAGGAATTGACTTGTTTTACTCTTTCCCCAGGCTGCGTTGCGTCAGATCACTGATAAAGCGCGCGAGTTTGGAGCTGGGCCTCTGTTTAATCAGATTCTTCCCCTGCTGATGTCTCCTACACTTGAGGACCAGGAGCGCCATTTACTCGTGAAAGTCATTGATAGGATATTGTACAAACTGGATGACTTAGTACGGCCCTATGTACACAAGGTCTGTGGTCAAGTATTTTCCTTTTTGGTACCAGGAATCAAATTCAGGACCTTGTGCTTGTCAGACAGGTGCTGTGCCACTGAGCTATATCCCCATCCCTGTTGCCAAGTATTTGGTTTTTGTCGTCTTTTCTCCTCAAATGTAGGTCCTAATGGTTTCAGGTTTTTTTTGTTTGCTTGAGACAAGGATCTCGCTATATGATTGAAGCAGGCCTTGAATTCACTATGTAGCCCAGGCTGGCCTCAGACTGTCAGTAATTGTCCTTCCTCGGTCTCCTCTGTGGTGAGATTATAGGTGTGCACCACCGCACTTAGCTGGTTTGTTTTTAATATAGACGAAATTCATGAGTTTGATTTTTGTGTGTGTGTGTGTGTGTGTGTGGAACCGGGGATTGAACTCAGACCCTTGCGCTTGCCAGGGAAGCGCTTATTCTACTGAGCCATCTCCTTGGCCCCTGATTTTTTTTTTTGACCAGTTTTGAATTCTTAAACTTTAAAAATTCTGTTGTAGAAGCAAATTATATGCACTTACAACTGAAAGGGGAAGTTCATGCCTTGCATGGTGCTCAGTGGACCAGGGTTAAGTTTACTTCTCCACAGATGCATGTACATCACACAGATGCAGGTTTATGGAGATGTGACCTTTTGTCTTTTTACCACAGTGGGTTCATATTTCTCATAATTTTTCTTTGTAGTTTTCTTGGTAATAGTAACTGTAAATGCTTTGCTTTGCTGAGTATTGAACCCTGAGCCTCACATAAGCTAGACAAATCCTCTTTTAAAATTGTATTTTGAGACAAGGTCTCACCAAGTTTAAAGTGCTGGCCTAGAGTGCAGTCCTCCCTCAGTTTATCAGGTAGCTGGGATTACAGGGATGCACCATTGCTCCTGTTTTTTGTTTATGAAATGTTAAATATTTGGTGGTCTACGTGGTTAACAGTTCACTGTAGTTTTCATGTGTATCATATGTTTGAAATTGTCGGTGAAAATCCTTAATTTCTGTCTTAACAGAGTTCCAGTAACTTCACATTTCCTGTTTTATTTTTATTTTTATTTTTATGTATTTGGTACAGGGTCTCACTATGCAGCTCAGACTCAAAGTGATTCCCGTTTTCAGCCTCACCAGCTGGGATTATAGGCATGCACCACCGTGCCCCAACTCAACTGCCAGCTCAGTGTGTCTGGGGCAGGGCCTGCACAGCATGCAGTATTGGGGATCAAAGCCAGTCCCTGCGTTTGTCTAAGCAGGCACTTAGTCTACTGAGCTGTTTTGCCGTGCTACATTTCCTGGTTGTTGTTGTTGTTTGTTTGTCTTTTTGCCTCAGTGTGACTTTAGTAATTGATATGAAAGATTAGTTGCTACTCTTGTTTTTCAGATTCTTGTGGTCATTGAACCATTGTTGATTGATGAAGATTACTATGCAAGAGTGGAGGGCCGAGAGATCATTTCTAATTTAGCAAAGGTCTGTACATTCAGTTTCTAGAGAAGAGAGTTTGAATCTGTTGATGGGATTGATTATAGAAAGTCATGGTTGAAAGTTGATATTACCTGCTTTTTGTCTCTTCCTCTTAGGCTGCTGGTCTGGCTACTATGATCTCCACCATGAGACCTGACATAGACAACATGGACGAGTATGTCCGTAACACGACAGCTCGAGCCTTCGCTGTGGTAGCCTCTGCGCTTGGCATTCCTTCTTTATTGCCATTCTTAAAAGCTGTTTGCAAAAGCAAGAAGTCGTGGCAAGCCCGACACACGGGTATTAAGATTGTGCAGCAGATAGCTATCCTTATGGGCTGTGCCATCTTGCCTCATCTCAGGAGCTTAGTTGAAATCATTGAGCATGGTGAGTTATCGTAGAACTTTGTCTTTGCATAAAGGGACAGTTGTCCTGCAGTTTGGTTGTGGAAGTAGACAAGTAGATGGGCTTATTAACTCCATAGGCCACTTTATATTTTTATAATGGGCTTTGTGACATTACTGCTAACTGTCTGGCTCAGAACTATTTTTGTCTATATATTATTATTATTATTTTTTTCCAGTAGTGGGGATTGAATTGCCTTTCTATTATTAAGTTTATCGGTACATTTGCCTAACTTTATCACATATGAGTAGGTTCTGCAATTTGCCTAAATGGTTAGATGTAACTGCTAGAATCTGATGCAACTGGAGGTTAGATAGTGTGGATGTGTAGATACAGCCTGTGTGTGGTTTTATAGGTCTCGTGGATGAGCAGCAGAAGGTGCGAACCATCAGTGCGTTGGCCATTGCCGCCTTGGCTGAAGCAGCTACTCCGTATGGTATCGAGTCTTTTGATTCTGTGCTGAAGCCTTTATGGAAGGGTATCCGCCAACACAGAGGAAAGGTAAAACACCAGCTGCATGTTGAGGTGGGTTTTCTACTCCCTAGTGTTAAGACAATACAAATCTAATTTTCTAATTTTTTTAAATTTGAAAATAGGGTTTGGCTGCCTTCTTAAAGGCTATTGGGTATCTTATCCCCCTCATGGATGCAGAATATGCCAACTACTATACCAGAGAAGTGATGTTAATCCTTATTCGAGAATTCCAGTCTCCTGATGAAGAGATGAAGAAAATCGTGCTAAAGGTAATTGTTCTGCGTTGTTACAGATTTGTTAACCTCCGCTGGGTTTGTTTTGTGGTACAAAGGGAATTTTACTTCATTGTTTTAAAATCATTAGTACGTCACGTCAGTGTTGTGTTTGATTTCTTGTTTTTGACCTTTAGGTCGTGAAGCAGTGTTGTGGAACAGATGGTGTAGAAGCAAACTACATTAAAACAGAAATTCTCCCTCCTTTCTTCAAACACTTCTGGCAGCACAGAATGGCTTTGGATAGAAGAAATTACCGACAGGTTAAGTTTTACTGTTAAAAACGTTTTACATCATTTTCACTAGCATTCCTTTCAGTATCTTATAGTTTGTATGTGTTTGATTGTGAAAGGAATTGGATTTTCATTATCCAGTTAAACTTTCTTTTTGATTTTACATATATAATAAGTACTTAAATGGGAATTTATTTTTTTTTGGTTTGGTTTTGTTTTTGGTGATACTGGGCAATGAACCCAGGATGGTGAGCGTCTGTTGTACTAGTGAACTGTACTCCCAACTGTTTTAAATATTCGTTTTATTTTGAGATGGGGAGTCCCACTAAATTGCCTAGGCTGGGCAACTTGCCACCCTCCTGCCCATGATTCCAAATTGCTAGGATTGCAGGTGTGCGCCACTGTACCTTGCCGTGCTGATGTCCCTTTTTAGAAGTTTCAGTGTTTTATCTGGCAGGCTGAAATATGGGTAGTCTTGCATCAGTTTGTCTTAGGCTCATTTAAATTTTCTTTTTTTTTTTTTTTAAATGTATTTGGTACGGGGTCTCACCATGCACCTTGGACTAGTAGTGGATACCCCTGTTTTCAGCTTCCCCAGCGCTGGGATTATAGGCGTGTGCCACCATGCCTGGTCTTCATTTAAATTTTGTAATGACTTTTTCTTTAACTTTCTAATTAGAAAATTACTCTTTCGTGGCATATTTACTAGCCAAGTAGTGCATGTAGAATATTAGGTCTTCATGATGTTAGCAAGTAGTTGATTGAAAGGTCTTTCTTTTGTTCTTTTTTTTTTTAAATTTTATTTATTTATTTGTGTGTGTGTGTGTGTGTGTGTGTGTGTGTGTGTGTGTGTGTGGCTAGCTCAGCCCACCAGGGGGCGGGGCTGGCTGGCATGTGGTGCTGGGGGATTGAACAGCAGTCCCTGTGCTTTGCTAAGCTTGTTCTAAGTAGGTGCTTTAGACCACTGAGCCATCTCACCAGCCCCTCTTTTGTTCTTTTAGTTAGTTGATACCACTGTGGAGTTAGCAAACAAAGTAGGAGCAGCAGAAATCATATCCAGGATTGTGGACGATCTGAAAGATGAAGCTGAGCAGTACCGAAAAATGGTGATGGAAACCATTGAGAAAATTATGGGCAACCTAGGAGCAGCTGATATTGATCACAAACTTGAAGAACAGCTGATTGATGGCATTCTGTATGCTTTCCAAGAACAGACCACAGAGGTAATGATAACTACGGAGTATGGCATATTGCCTTGACTTCCATATCTGTAGGGAAACCTATAACTTTTCAAGTAAATTTCCCTAAAAAGTATTCAAGTTTGAAATAAATTTTTTAAAATGTATGTTCTTGGTTGTTTAGCAAATGTTAATCATCAACTTTTTTTTTTTTTCCTGTATTTTTAGGGAAGGGTCTACAGGGTGTTCAGGGCCATACTACCAGATCGGACTCATAGTGATTCTCCTGTTTACAGCCTCCCAAGTGCTGAGATTACAGGCGTGCAACACCATGCCCAGTCTCAATTGCTGTCTCAGCAGGCCCCAGGGGCAGGGCCTGCACAGCAGGCCCCAGGGATTGAGTCCCTGGCCCCTTTGCCTGCTGTAAGGCGCTTTAATCTGCTGAGCTATTTGGCCAGCCCTTAAACCAATCCAGATGATCACTTTTTTTTTTTTTTTTTTTT